ATACTTCTAACCGTGGTTTCACACTTCACAACAGATTATTACACTTTATCATTACAGCTTGTTACTACAAAGTTATTTCTGATCTAGATAGCCCCGTATGTGACTTCACGTCTGGTCCTTTCGACCCCCGGTTTCCGACTTCACGTCTGGTCCTTTCGACGCCTGGTTTCCGAATGACGCTAAAAAAATGACGCTTCCTCGGACATTCAATTCCTGGCTTTCACCAGCGTCCTTGCTCTGTCACACACTCAAATTTCCGTGATTGGTCAGTTTAAAATTTAGAGGTATTCTAATTAGACATTCCTCCACTCACTTTAACTCTTACAAAGGGGTGAGGAAATTCTGTCTTAACGAACTCCTGTCAAAAAAGTGACGAATGTATAGCGTGGCTTGGGCTGTAAACCAATAACCCTGCTTCTCTATATAGCTTGCAGAAAATTGTCAGCTAAAGAACTCACAAAGACTTCAATGGCCATTCTTTACGTAACTTTCTCTTAATAAATCTTCAACGGGTATTTCTCTGCTTTTGGTGTAAGCGTGGGAAGACGCTAGCTCTTAAATACAAGAATTGACCTAAGTCTCACTACACTTGTTCATGTCCTTACATCTAACAATTAAATTTCAAATTAATAACATAAATCACATTTAAATAGGCAGCACGGCAGTGGAACGGTTACATAATCCAAGTGACTTCTCCTCCCATTAACCCGGACTACCAAAGGTTTACTGTATTAACAATAAACACAATACAATGAAACAAAAGACTGCTTGCTTTTTTCTGATTGACTACAATTCTTGACAATTCACTGTTATGGTAACCTGAAATTGCATAATTTCAGAGCTTTCATGTCATTTTTCTGTTACTTCTATGTATAATGATACATGTTAAGGCTGTGTTGAAATCATTTTTGTGTTATTCTTTTAATGTAGTGCTGTACTGCAATAAGTCAAGCTGATGGAGGCAGGATTGGCTCCATGAGTGGCCATTTGCTTTGCAGTATGTGGTTGTGCCAGCTTTGCTTGAAGAGCACATTTCAGCTGCTTTTTATTTTTAGGTGCCAGTTCAGCAGAACTGATGCACGCATTATATACCAATTTTGACAAACCCTAGCACACACAAGATTTCAGGAACAAGGAAAGCATTCTACATAGCTTTATAATGTGTATACAGACAATGGTGGTCTGTGATGTGACTCTTCTATCATGAAGGCCTTCAATTTCATTTGATATTCCTGGTAATAATAACTATATGTACCAGCTCTCAACACGTTCCATTGAGCCTTCATTTGGGCTGTTGTTTGGAGACAAACTCCGGGACATGGGAGTGGCAACAACGGGAGCTTCAGTCATTATGAGCGCTCTGGATGCAACAATCAACTTCTCTGGTATGAACTAAATTTATATAGTGAGGCCTTCTTCTTCTTCTTCTTCTTCTTCTTCTTCTTCTTCTTCTTCTTTGTGTGTGTGTGTGTGTGTGTGTGTGTGTGTGTGTGTGTGGGGAGGGGAGGTGCAAGCCCGGAAGGGTTGAATACTATTCCCATCAAGTCGGGCTGACCTATAATGCTTTAGATTGCTTCAAGGTTGAGCTGTCAATAGAATTCAGACCACATGATCTCAGTTGCCTATATTAATTTCAGCTATTATCAGGGATAAGTGCCATCACAGGCGATGACAAATTGAGCCCATTTTCCATCGGGTAGAAACAGATCAACTTTCTCAAAATTACTGTCATGATAATAACATGAATCTTCTAGATACTGCGTCAAAAATGGACAGTGGTGTAATAATTTTTAAAACATATGTATTTATGTTGTTGCATAACTTATGTTAATTACTGCCAATTAATGGTCATGATACAATAGGAACAAAAGGTCACCAGATATTAATAATAAATATTAATAAATTAATAAATGAATTCATAATAAAAAAGGAGAGGCTGGTTGTAAAATGTGCTACTCCTAAAATCATGCTGCCCTGGGCAGCTGCTGCTTGATTTTTCTGTGGTGTAGTGTTAGCCCTGTATATTATATTATAAACAGCATGTTTTCATGAGAGTGAATGTGCAACTTTAATGTGTTGGACATTTGTGACTGCAGAGGATGGTGAATACAGATTATGTTTGGGAGAAGGCTGCATGGGCCAGAACCATTGTGTAAATACCATTGGATAACAAGCTGACAATATTTATGTTAAGTTCACTATTAAAATATATGATGAAAGATGCAGTTTAAGTAACAAACACTGAATTCCACCCTATGTGTTTTGACTATTTGGCCTTCCTCTTGTGTGTCCACCATGTTATTAGAAAACAATTATTTTACAGTATTGTCTGTTGCGTTACTTATTTTGACAGAATTAAACCGCAGTTATATCAGTATATCACCATGACTAGAACATCAAAATAAATATTCTGTGACTCATTGCAGATGTTAGGGCCATCTATGCTATATCCAGTCTTTAGTTGTCCGTAATCTGAAATGTATTGAAAGGCTTCTCATAGTGTTGTCTGCTTCATCTTTCAGAAGACTTAAGAATATCAACAACTCGAGTATGGAAACAGCGTAGAATAAATTGACTGCTTTAATACATATCTTCACTCTGTTATATTTTACTGTTTGACACAGGAATGTATAATTCTGATTTAGTTATTTTAAAATTAATAATGTAAGAGGTAATAAAAGGTGAAATTTTAAATTAATTTTAATAATTTGGAGGAGACTCCTGAGAATGGATGAATAGCTGAAATATACATGATGGAATTAGTCATTTCCTGATTACATTACATCTTGAATCATTGGTTTTTTTGTTTAATTGAGTATACCAAAGATGTAACATAGATGTTTGTAAAATTACTGAGGAGTGAAGTTGATCACTCATTTCCATCTAGTGCCAACATTAAGGTGTTTAATTTTATCTGTACTCCTGTATTCCATATGGTACAGTGTTTGAACACATGTATAACTTCTGTCTTTCTTTCTAATACTTCAATTTGGAAGTTAATTTATCAGTGTTGGTGCCCTCAGGTCTGTTTGTGGGCCCTCTTATCCGGAAGTATTCATACCGCAAAGTGGCTCTTGTTGGCGCTGTACTGAGTGCACTAGGACTAATAACCACATTTCCTGCAGAGAGCATGGCACATATCCTTTCAACATATAGTATTATGGGGGGTAAGTACCCAGTAAAACTGTACTCAATTTATTGAACATAAATATTTCATAGATATCCACTGTCATTGAGAATAGTGGCCTGAGAATGATGAGCATGGTTTTAGAAATTCGTATCTATCTTACTGCTTTAATTTGTGAAATAAACCTGATAAGTACTATTAATGATCCCAACTTGTGGGTGTAATGAAAAACTATGGCGCTAATTCATGAGTCTGACTCATCGGCCTTCACTTGGTAGTATCCATGTGCCATGTAATGCATTGAATACTGGATACAGTGAAACCCACATTTAACACTTCTGGATTTGATGTCTTTCATTTAACATTTAGAGGTTATAATGCAATTTTTCAATAAAATATTCTACCACTTAAAAATCATGTACTGCCATATGTTTAATATGAATTCAGTATGACTTTCACATTAAGATTGAAAACCCATTGATAGATGGGGTAACATTTGTAAAAGAGTGATCTTTATACAGAATTCTATGTTATTTTTGTTAGCTCTTGCTGATGAAATTTAAAATAAAATTAATATTTATGTCTTCCATATTCAATGATGTGCTGTAGAATGCCTCTTAGAAGGTTAGAATGGGTCAATTTATTTACTTAAAATATCAGTGACTGACTACATATACATTCTAAAAATACCGAATGATGACATACAACGTTACAGTTATCCTTTCTCATTTTTCACATTTTTTAGTATATTCAGGGTTGGTCCAACTGACATGCTGCATAGGCATGAGAATATTTGAGGTTTGTCCTGAAAGGGATAATAGAAGTGAACTGATAAACTTGAACTTTCTTGACACAGTGCAACTCAGTGTAGTCTCTATGTAGAAGCCCATACATTTCAAGACCATATTATTTATTCCAGTAGCAAGATATTCAGTTTTCTTCAGAGCCTGTCACAATTTTACATTGCTAATATATAGAGACTGGTTCTTCACTGTATAGAATTTATATATGTTCAAAAGTTACAAGGTATTAACAACCATGCAGGGATTTAACCCTTTTAGTTTTAAATCCTTGGAGGTGTATGCATACTTACTTACTCATGGAACTGAGCCCTTCTGGAGGAGCCGCCAATTCTGCAGCTACTCAAGAATTTCCCAGGATTTTATGGTACCCGAAGGTTCATTACCATGTTCACAAGAACCCTCCACTGGTCATTATCCTGAGTGAGATCTATCCAATCCATACCATCTCATCCTACCTGTAGCTCTCTTAAGATCCATTCTAATATTGTCCACCCACCAACGCCTTGTTCTTCCCCATGTGCATACAGCAGACACAAATAATGACTGGCAGAGCAAGAGTATACATCTTGCTCTTTTACTTTAATTTCCCAAATTCTCTTAATTGTTCAGTTACACTGAAATGGGGCGTTACAAGTGCTGTTGACATAAAACCCATTAATATAGCTGGTCATGAGCAACTCCCTGAAGGTCCCTCAGTTTTGGTCACACAAAGACATCATGGCCATGGTGAGGCAGTTATTCCAGCGGAAGCGCAGTGAGTTCCTTATGGAGATCCACGGGGCTGCCTCATTTCCCATGGGTTCTACTTGTGTCTTCGCTCATAGAAATCCCGGAGTGGGTTTCATTTAAACAGCCCTCCAGATTAAAATAAACTCCAGACTTTAATATATTTTCGTATATTTTAAATGTAAATGTCTTACGATGGTTGTATGAAATAAGAGGTCAAAGAAGGTAACATTTTTCCATTTCAAATATAAAAAGTGTTTTTTGGGAATATGAAAGTTTTGTGGACTCCATATCAAGCAATATGGAAAACATTTCAGAACTAATTTTTGTCTCTAATAATTCAGAGAAAATGACCACCTCTGTGGTCTAGTGGTCAGCATTCCTGGCTACAGATCCAGAGGTCCGAGTTCGATACTCGGCACTACCAGATTTTTTTCTGAGAAGTGGTGGCTCTGGAACGGGGTCCACTCAGCCTCGTGATGATAAGTGAGGAGCTATTTCAAGGAAATAGCGGCTCCGGTCTAGAAAACCGAAATTAACGGCCGTGGGGATTCGTTGCGCTGACCACGCGACATTCTCTATTCGCAAAAGTTGGCACTAAACTTCACCGACAAGCGGTGGTCGTTCGGTCGGACTAAAATCACGGAGTTTAATAATTCAGAGAAATGATTCTACATTAATTATCCTTCTAATGCAATTGTACTAAAATATGCCAATGCAGGAATATGATGTATTCCTTTATGATATTGTCGCGTATCGGGCGTATATCGCGACAAATAACTTCTCGATGTATTTNACATAAATTGTCCGTGATTTTTTTAAAATATTCTGAAACAATGATCAAATGAAGATGACAGTGATTAGTGTAAATAACATCTTCATTGAAGATATCCCCCCTTTGTTGTGTCGATGGCTATAAAATAAGTAATTAAATATTTTATATATAATAGGTTGCAATCTATAAAGTTAATAACATATAGGTTAACGTCATATTAAATTCGCTTAGGGGGGGGAGGAGTCCAGCTGGGTCCACTCGGCACAGCGGCCACTGATTGGCCTGTTGTACCTGCCCCGGGTGATTATGATGATGGAGAATTTGGTGGAATGAAGTTGGTGAAAACCGAAGTACTCGGAGAAAATACGTCCCAGCGCTACTTTGTCCACCACAAATCCCACTTGACCAGACCCGGGATCGAACCCGGGCCGCCACGGTGGGAAGCCAGCGACTAACCGCTTGAGCTACGGCAAGGCCTTTAACGTCACATGAAATTAATACAAACTTGCATGACAAACTTTTATAAGGAGATCAGTTTGAGATGTGAGGTACAGTGTGTAGTAAAGTAACCTCGCTTAACGAGCATAATTCGTTCCAGAATCTTACTCGTAATGCGAAACAATTTTTCCCATATAAATTAATGTAAAATACGATAATGCGTTCCATGCCGAAAGAAATACTCAAAAAATTTTATGTATAACGTTTACTCAAAGAAAATTGTATATACATTGTTAAGGAGCGTGAATCATCATCATCTTTTCTTCTATGCGGAATGAACAACCTGGAATGTGAATTCGATTCACAGAAAAAAAAAATCGAAACAATTAGTTTATTATATATGATACATATCTAATTCTTTTTACTAGAAAGCTGTCTAGAGACATTTGTTTTTGCCGACGCTTCAAAATATGGTGAAAATGCGACACAGCATTATCATTAAATAAATTTGTAGCGCTCATAGCCATGCCTTATTAGACTGATGCTTCTCAATGTACGATGCAACAGTTTCCCATGCTTTCAGCATTTCTCTTATTGCGGCAGAAGATTGTTGCTTTGCTGTTACCTCCTCCTCCTCTGACAAACTCTCCTCCACAACTTCTTGCTGTGAAACACAATGCAACTCCAAATCGTGCAAATTGTTGATGTAGACCGATTGTATGTGCGTGCTAGATCAGCCATGCTCACACCTCATTCTCGCTTTTCAATGATTTTACGTTTCATTTCTACGGTTATTTTTGTTCTCTTATGGCTGTCTTTTTGCGGCTTTTTCTTCGGGGACATTTTTGCAAGGGCTATTAAACTTTGCACAAATAATATGTCTGAACACAAGTTTGGAAAATGTGTGATCACAAGCGACACTAAGATGCTAGCGGAACGAGTGCTAAACACAGACTGATGTAGCAAGCGCACAATCCGGGTCTTCCCCTCTCATCACTCGTTATGTGAAACGTCGCTCGTTAAGGGAGTAATTTTTTTACAATTTGTTTTGCTCATTATACGAATTACTCATTATGAGAGGTGCTCGTTAAGCGAGGTTCCACTGTAATTGTTAAATTAGAGGCAATTAAAGATGTAATTTATTTTGTTTCAGGTTTAGGGGTTGGTTTTGCATGGTCATCTACATTTGTAGCATTGAATCATTACTTCAGCAAGAAACGGGGTCAGGCCATTGGTTTGTCCATGGTAGGTACTGCATTGGGCATGATGGCAATGCCGCAAGCAGTGCAGTTGTTGCTGGAGGAATACAATTTTCGTGGATCTGTCCTCATTCTGGGAGGTGTTGCCCTCCATGCCCTTGTGGGTTCCATGCTACTGCAGCCTATCAAGTGGCATCTCCGGCCAGAGGAACCCAAGGAGGAAGAGAATCAGCAACTTGAAAATAAGGTTAGAAGAAAAATGATATTAATTCTGTACCTTGGGGCTCCAACTCTGAAATCATGGCTGGTTAGGACTTGTTATTCTGATCATGTTTTTAGTTCCTTCTACTTGATTACATCTACCCCTCTCTGTTTATTGTTTATAATAATTTGATGCTATAGTAAATAAGCAGTTTTACAGGATAAAATCTTTAAATCTTTTGAGTCTTGTCACAACAAAATCATGCCCCTTATACAAAGCATTTTAATTTGTTAAGCATGGCAGGGAACATGATTTTACTTTCTTTTGTTGCATTTTGAGCAGTAAAGTGTCATAAAAGTCTGAAATGTTGAACTGTTGTGTAACAGCCCAGTTTCTTCATTACAGGAGCTTGAATATGAGGCACAGTCCCCATTGCTGGATAAATCTAAGATTGTGGTCACAGTCATCCCTGCCTCTGGTGATATAGACAAGCAGGAACCGATCAGCAGGAAACGTTCTCAGCAACTCCTGCGTATTGTATCTACTGGAAGTATGTCAGCTCGTAAGCGCAAAGAGTCAGTCATATCAAACATTTCCAGCATGGACTTTACTGGCAGCACTTGCCAGATTCACACGGTAATTATTGTGACTCACTATAATTAAGTAGGTAAACATGAAAATGTGGTTGTTGATGAGGTGATGTGATTATCGCAGTTTCACGCATTATGAACTTGAACCATGTGCCCCCAGAGGAATTCTTTAATGCATAAAATAATCTACCTATATCAGTTTTATTTATATTCATGATGTGTAATCTTGTAAGAGTTGTTACCAACAATATTCCTAACTTTAGAACCCCACCACACACACACACTGGTTAACACATATGTGCACTGAATTATCCACCAGCAGATGGAAAGGATGCTACATATCACAACTCTCTAGCTCTGAGTAAATTTGCCAACAAAAGCTCAGTTTTATGTGTTTAGTACTGCTGTAGGTTGAGACTTTGATAATCATATGTAGAAAAGAAAATTAAAACATATTCCCCATAAAATTATGATATTTTTGTCAACATGTCTTAAGAATAGAAAAATATCTATTGAAATGTAGGCTTTAACCCACTGTGTTGAAATTTCAAGTGAGACTTATGACAGGTAATGTAGTCTGTGTTTCACAATAATGCATCTTGTTTGCAAGTATTTGATTAGCAATATTGTTCTGTTTTCACTTGTCATTCACAGATGGCAGAAAGGTACATGAGCTGATTCTTTTAGCTAGCTTATGGCAGTTTTTTACTGTTTTATATATAGTTTATTTTCATGTATATTTCTGTCTTATCCAAGAAAATGGTGAGTTGATTGAATCATAGTGCATATTTAAATGATCACTCCATGCCCAACAGCAGACCAGTTTAGTTCCAGTACAGTGAATTAACAGTATTGGACTGCCTGCTGTATTCCTGAATTACTGACCTCATTATTTACCAGTTAACTTTGCAGTGTGAAAACTGCATCTTAACATTCCACACCACTGCAACCCACTGACTTTTCCAGTGACAAAGCCTTTGACATTTTCATTTACCCTCCCAGAATTATTCTCTTATTTTATTCCTTATTTGCTTTTATTTTTGGATATCTTCTTTCTCTACCTTGTCCTTGGTCTTTCTTCACTCGCTTTTAAAAGAATCATCATACCTGCATAATATACTCGTACGTGGTAGAGTCATTAAGTTCGTGGATTTTGGTTTTTTTTATTGCATCATATTACAAGGTATTCACATACACTTGCACAGATCCACATTGGCCCTCAAAATAATTTCCATTGGCTGCTATGCAAGTCTGCCAACGTTGATATAGCTGTCGAAAACATTGCTGAAACATATTGGCAGTAAATTCCGGTACAACGATTTGTTGCAATTCCACGAACTTATTGACTGTGGTAGTATGTTCGTGTCACTGCATGCTGAATTTCATAAAATTATTTGTAATCTTTGCACGTTCATACTTTACCTAATGTCCTGATGTCCTGATTTTGAATTTTAACTTTTATTTTATTTCCTAATGATCCAAAATAAATTTTCTTTCTTCTATATTGTGAATTTTATGTCAGAAGTTGACAGAAAGAAACTGAAGTAGCAATGATAAATAAATGTGTAAGAAACAAAGTTGAATGTAGTTGGATGCAGTAACTGGAAAATTATAACAGTAAACAATGTTGTCTTCTGAGTTACAATACTATGTAGTCTGGATGGTTGTTAACATTTTGGAACTCCATCTTCTGGGTAGAAATATATCCCGATGATACAGTAACATATAGATGGAGACCAAAGTCTAAGGCTTCATTGCTTTGTTACACCATTTTAAAAACAACTTATACTGTAAACAGTACCAAAACTATTTTTTCTCTCAGTTGTAGCCCTGTTATTCTAAATATATGATACAGGGTATATTCCACATTTTCATGTTTATGATCTGATAATCCAGTCTCTAAGCCATATTTTGAGAATAACTTGTTGCTATTTCAAACATCCAGATTATTTACTGCTACCTTACATTTAAAACATGATTATTTCATCAGTAATTATGTGCACATTGTCTGCAGCACATGGGCAGTGATGAGGAAGATGGCCAACCTGGGGGTCTGGTTATGAAAAATCTTGGAAGGAAGAGTAGATCACCTGTAAACAATGATATCAACAAGAACTTACCAACATCTGAGAAAGGGGATGACAAAATTGAATCGGAGATGTCAACATCTCCCCGTCACATCTCATACTGGAAGCGGGTTGTACATTTCATGGACTTGGACTTATTGAAAGATCTCATCTACCTCAACATTCTGTTTGGACTCTCAATATTCTATGTTGCAGAATTGAATTTTAAGATGATAGTTCCTTTCTTCTTAAATGACTTGGGATATACAAAGCAAGACACAGCTTTCTTCCTGTCCATGACTGCTGTGTCAGATATCTTGGCACGTGCTGTACTGCCACCTATCTGTGATAGAGTGAAGATAAGGAGGAGGACACTCTTTGCAATAGCTTCCATCTTCCTAGGCCTCTCCAGATCAGGTAACTTAACCTAACATATATTTTCAGTTTTCTTTTTCTTTATGAAAAGCAGCAGTAGCAACAGCACATTTTCTTTGGAGCGTTATTCACATGAATTCTTTTCTTTTTTCCCTGCTGTAAATGTTTTTTCTTTGTCTGTTACATTTCCCTGTTTGTAATTTAATTATTGCTGTGAGTATGCAAGGGATAAGATTGTGACAACTGTTGTGTTACTTGCAGAATTCCAGCTAATCAAATGATAGTTCATAAGTCTCTCTTATGTTATATGTGAGAAAGAAGTGCTCAAAAATTTCCTTATTACCCAACCATAAGCAAATCAGTAACAATCATATCCAGGAACTGGACTTCTGGCTGTGTAGCAAAATTTGATTAAAATATAATTTTAAAAAATCTTTGCAGTATATTTATTTGTTTAAACAGGATAAGATATTGTTTCACGTGAAGAGTTCTCCCAAATTACTCTTTAGTAATCTTAACCTGAACAGTTATACTCCATTTATTTCTAAACTTTGGGGCAACTTTTAAATATTGTCATGTGATAAGTGAGTATAGATGGATTAATTAGACTCTTACAAATCATAACTACAAGTAACTGTAGAACTGTCACTAATTTATACACTCCACAGTTCTCTACAGGACATATTAAGTCTTCTCAATCTGCTGTGTCTTCATTTGTTGTCTGATAATGGTTTCTAATGCTGTAGATCCCTCAGCTTCTATATTCATATCGCTGCTGGCCAGCAACTTTCTCACAACAAATTTGTCATTGTTACACAACAATTTTAACAATAGGGGACTTCTCCATCTCCCACAACTCCATCAGGAGCCACTGTCTCACAACAGCCACAGACTTGGACTGGTCTGTCTAGCTGCAGACTATCTAGACATCTCTCTAGACTGAATCAAAGTCACAGTTACTTTATAACTCGTGGTTTACCACCAATCAGCTTGCCTTGTCCCCAAGCCCCTTGAGACTCATGACCAAAGTCCCCCTCACTGAACACTTGTGGTCAAAGGCCTTATATTAACATCCTTTCTCTTGAGAAGATGGGTTTGTCTCTTATGAATATGTAGATGCGGACATGACGTGTTCCTCTGTTGCGTGCTGCCATGATCATGTGATCTGGTAGCCATGGACGTGTGTTTACAGAGCTATTGACTTGCAATGGCTGTCTGTGCTAATTAAATTATTCTGGCCTTCAGTGAACATGCCACAATATCATTTTGGTCAATTCAGTGATAGTAATATTTGTGATCAGACTGCCATCTGAAAATGAGAAAATGAGAATGCTATGCTGTTCCTTTTTCCACATATTATGGATGTTGACAGCACTACAGTTTCCATTATTTCTCTGTAATTTTTTCAAACTCAATCAAAGAAAATAAACTTCACTGAGAAACTTACACTGTGACAACAGCAACTGACAGTTCAACACTGCTAGTACTAAGCATGTCATTAGACATCGAGATCTAGTTCCTTTCACTTTTAATCCTCACAACTTATCTTTCTGAAATCAAATTTGAAGTTACCCTCGCAACTCCTCCAAAATATGTTTTAAATAAAACTCTGTGTAGGATTCGAGGTTTTCACAGCAGTGGTTATGAGGCTTTCCATCTTCTGGGATATAATGGTATGTAGTCTGTTGAAAGTCAACTGATGTTTCAGAGGAACAGGTCACCTCCTTCTTCACAGTCAAAGAATAAGCCAAGCAAGAACCTTGCAAGCTCGCTACCTGCTAACAAGAAGAAAGCAACAAGTACTTATTGCTTGACTTATTCTTCATCCCTGAAGATGGAGGCAGTACATTCCTCTGAAACATTGCAGAACTTCTACGAGACTACTTGGTGTCACATTCCAAAAGATAGTACTTCTTTGACAGGTCTGTTAAATATTCTGAGTATTAAGTACAAACAGTGCCAGTAAACAGAATTGTCTCAAATTAAGTTACTGGTATGTTGTACCATTCTGTAATGTTACAGCACTTGCAGAACAGACAGAATATACAGCATTGATGGTAACTCTAGTGATAAATGGATTCTTCAGAGGAGCCACACTCATCAACTTCACACTCACTATATCTGAACACTGTAGCCTGGAGAAGTTGCCTGCAGCATTTGGACTCCATATGGTGGCCAAGGGACTGTTCATTGCAGCATTAGGCCCTCTCATAGGTGAGAACAAGAGCAGAGCATGTATATTTTCGAAATATGTTCCCTGTGATTCATAATGCCAAACCTTGTCACCCAACAGATGTCAAATTAAATAAAAGGCAGAGACAATTTTTTCTTGTAGTTTGTTAAATATTCACTGCATGAGGACACAATGGACATAGGAGCTGTAGATTTTAATGAAGTCAAACTTTTAATCCCTCAGAATTTCTGGGTTTTATGGGCTTTGTCTATCATGCAGTATTCCACAAACTAGAGAATATTGTAGCATGTTTAGTGTGTCACGCTACAAATAAGTTCACGCCGTTGTCTGATATAGCGAGTTTATTCTGTTCGCTTGCCTTACACACACTTTACAATCATTTGCACTTGCAGTGTTACAATCACTGCTTACAATATTCCGGCCGACACTGGACTCTCTTCTCTGGCGGTTATTCTAGGACTCTCCTCTAAGATGGCTCGATCACGACTGACCTCTTAGCTGGCTATTCCGAGACTGACTGTCTCTCGTCGAAGCTGGGCTATTTTATAACCTTGGCCGCTGCTAGGAAAATGAATCCTCTGTTATAGCAGTGGAAACGTTGCTTTGTCGGTTCCACGTCTCCTACGCAATGACCCATTGTTATTGCGTTGTCTCTGTGGGAACGCTTCGCGTATTCGTCGTAACCGTGGAGATTCGGTGTTCTCTACACAACGGCTCACTGTTGGGATTACAGTGCCGCTATTGTTACTTCCTATGTAATGGTCTATTCTAGTGTTTCCATAGAAGCGACTCTTCTGGATTCCAGACACGTTACAATATGTTTAACCAATCTGATCAGCCAACTCAGTTTGAATCTTCCATCTGGTTCCTTCTTATCAGGAATGAGGCTGCCAACTCACAGAGAAGATTAGTATGGTGTGACGGATTCTTCATGGGTTTCTATTAGGTTTTAGTCCTGAGTGTTCAGTTTTTACTCCACAGATGGCACTAGTGGTATGCAGAAAATTGTTTAACAAAATTCTCCGTTTAATTGTGTGCATTGGTTTTCATGGATTTGGTTTGTTGACTAGGTATGTTGCATAAAATTTTCACCTCCCTTTCTTAGTTTCAGGTGGGTGCATGTTTTGTCACAATTTTTATTGTACATTTTCCTGTTATTTCCCTTTGACAAAGCCTGGTCTTAGATATTTATATGGCTGTAGTGGTACTGGTATGGGTTGTTCAGTGATTGAGGTTAGCTCCTATTAAGTTACCTAACAGAGTAGATGTTTTCTCCCCCTCACCTGAGTCCAGAAACAAATGTTGCGTTCTCTAGTTTTTAGTATACCAGACAGACAGATTCCAAAAAGGTATACACTATGGTCAGAACTGTTTAGAATCTACTCTACATTTTATGTTATGTATCAATATTTTTGTACCTTGAGGCATGTAAGAGAAAATGGTGGGTTAATTTTGAGTTTCAGGTAAGGTATAGCCTGCCACAGACCAAATTCTAGTGGTTGGCCCCCCTGCTATAACTAAATGTGATTAAAATGTATTTAGTAATTTTGGACTCATTACATTTAGACAGGTGGGGAAACACAGATTCCCTCTTATTTTATTAAGCACAAAAAAGAAAAAATAAAGAAAATCAAGAGATCTGTGACAGTAAATAATTTTACATTCTATAGAGGTGGGACAAATTTCTGTCTCATACACATACTAAATTCAGTATATTTTAAACATATGTATCCCTTTTGAAATAGCCTCCTACTTACTGAATACAGACAGTGATTTCAGTTGTCCTGCCATTTATGAAGCCTTCTGGTAAACTTCTTTTTGTATTTTAGTAGGTTTCATACTCTGTAACTGATGGCAGAAGCAGAATTAGCTCCTGAAACATGTTTCTTTAACGACAATAAGGTGACGAGAAATGTCCAGTATATGTCAGACTAATGAATGTGTTCTCCTGTTTCTGAAGAGAAAATTAAATGAATCAGATGAGTTAGCACAGTTGTCTGTTTCATTCTGTATGACATTCGCTGTGCTTTGGTTTATCTACAGGTGTTATTCGAGATGTGTCTGGAAGCTTCCCACTTTGTATTCACTCCCAGACTTTGCTGATCTTCACATGTGTAGTAGCCTGGGGTATAGAGTACCTAGTCACAAGGACATCATCCAGTAGCAAGCAAGATAATACAGATAATACGTAACATTTGTCATTACTACACCACTCTGTTGTTATATGCAAGTCTCACTTGGGACACAATGATTTCAAAGTTGATAGCACTGTTGAGAAAGCTCAAGGCTTGCCAGGTGAGTATTTAAGGTACAACCTATATTAATGTGGTAAATTGGAGGCATTAAGTTTGAACGATGGTACCTGTAATCAGAGGTGTAGTCCTTCAAGTTAAAGTGCTAGAGCAGTCTGGTACACAGTTCTGGGTTGAAGGAAGTTGGTATGAATTGTAATGTGTGGCTGTTCTTTTTTATATTTGACAGCTTTACATTTTAAGCACAGAACTGAATGATAAACAGCACACAAAATATGTATATTCAAGAACCTTTTCCTTCATGTAGATAGGTGAGAAATTGAATAAGCTGAAATGTATTCATGTTTGATATAATTTTTTAAATAAGTGCCAGGTCAAAAGAAAAAAAAAGAAAAGAAAGAAAAAATGGATTGGGGCGCCATTCTGAATCGCTCTGGTTCACTTACAACCCTGACTCCAACATCAGAACAACCATTTCAATGTAATTAATGTAAGTTGGTCTTGGACCTTCAGAGATGATGTTCTCCTTTTGCATATGCAATAAAGGATCACAGCCATGAATGCTGCTTAGACTGAATTGCAACTGCAATTGCTAAAAGTTTAACAAATTAAACACTTATTCTCTGGAGCAGTAATATACTGTAAATCCAGTGATGGCCAGTAATTGTGGATTTCCAGTTCCCTAGATCAGGCTGAAACTTAGAGGTGTTGAAATTCCCATTCATAACTGCAAAAGAAACTACAAAGTTTCAAGAAAGAAATTTAAGATTAATATCATGACATGCTGTGAAACTCTTTTCATAAAATAAATCAGAGAACAGGACATCCATGTAGCAGTAAAATTCTACTTAACGCAACATTTATTGTGTAGAATATCTAGAAGTCATTCAGGGGCTTCAGAATATATTTTCTTAACCATTACAAAAATAAAAAACAAAACACCAAATTGAAGGTTAATTTAAAGGGTTTCTGTCCTTAAATTTCCACATGACGTATTTAACTGATAACTGATTTCAGCTCCCACACACCTCAGCACCTCTTCAGTTACTGTTTCAATCAACTGAGTTGATCTTAGTTGGTGACCCACAAAGGGCATCCATATGTGCCACTGACTGACTCAAGGTGCTAGTGGATCAAATGCATTATGTTGACCAAATGGTAGTACAGAGTGGCCATAAAGTCTTCACAACATTATGAACATAACAGCAGTCATACAGGATTTGAACATATAAAGGTCATATGTGTTCCTTTTATTCTTTCCAGTCTCTCAGTGACAAATAATAAAGCATACACACGAAGGCACATCTTTACATACTATTTACATAACATTTTTATGATGTTATAACAAGGTGTGAGTAAGCAGGGCTTAGGAGGAACACAAGAATTGCATACAGAATTTGTATTGTGAAATCTTATGGAAAGAGGCTTTCTGGTAGATGAAACTGTAAATGAAAGGATTAAGTCAAAATAGGACATGGGAGATATATGGCAAGTAAAAAAAATACTGCAGTTTAAAATGCAAAATTGAAGTGAATCAGTAACATAAATAAGCCCAACAACAAGTGGTGTTTGAACATACTCCTTTCTCTGACCATAATTAGAGATACATGTATGTCTAGTGTACTTAAGCCACTATATCCATTAGTCATTCTACGACATGTCGAACAAGGCAAAGACAATCTATCAAGCTACACAAAGGATTCAGTTGGATTTCAGATTTGGGGACAGAAGCTCATCTGATCCATTGCAATTCTGGTACAGCAGAATCTGTCTGGTGACTAATTGTATCTTGATTTCCAGTGTTTTGTGCAACTAACTAACTAACTAACTAACTTGTATGTATGTATGTATGAAGGGGTAGGCCTACTCGGCCCTTGCACTTAGACCTCAGTGGTCCATTGTGCTTCCCCATTTTAATTATTCCCTCAGCAACCCCACGCTTCGGATGAAGTGCAGGATTTTAGACGTGGGGGGTGTCAAAATAGTCACTTGGTTTCATAAAGTACTGACCCAAGTGACATAGTCGTAAAGAAGCTAAAGCCTCACATTCACACAGGACGTGTGTGGCTGTTTCATTTTCTATCTGACACCGATAATTGTGTGTACCATCAGTCCCGCCGAGCAAGCGAGTTCGGCCTCCACTTGCTTGGCGGTGTCTATAATGCTTCCCCCATCTATCAGAGGCCTTAGAGACTAAACTAACCAACTTACTTTATGGAGCTGAGCCCTTCTTGGGAAGCTGCCAATTATGCAGCTAGTTGAGAACTTCCTAGCATTTTATGGAACCCAAAGGTTCATTACTGTGTTCACAAGAGCCCTCCACTGGTCCCTATCCTGAGCCAGATCGATCCAGTCCATACCACCCCATCCTTTTCTAAGATCATTTTAATACCACCGACCTATGTCTTGCTCTTCCTAGTGGTCTTTCTCCTTCTGGTATATCCACCAATATCCTATATGCATTCCTCTTCTCCCCATTCATGCTACATGTTCTGCCCATTTCATCCTTGACTTGATCATTCTAATTATGCTTGGAGAAGAGTACAAGTTATGAAGCTCCTCATTATGCCATTTTCTTCAACTTCCTGTCACTTTATCTCTCTTCGATCCAAATATTCTCCTCAACACCCTGTTCTCAAAACACCCTCAGTCTATGTCCCTCCCTTAATGTCAGAGACGAAGTTTCATACGCATACATAACCACAGGCAAAATTTGAGTTATATTACAATTTTTATGTTTTTGGGCAGCAGACTAGAAGACAAAAGATTCTGGACTGAATGGTAGCAAGCGTTACCTGAGTTCAATCTCCTCTTAATTTCCTCCTGAATCAGGTTTTGATCTGTTATCGATGTCACCAAATATCTGAACTGTGCCACATTTTTAAAACATCTGTTACCTCTCTTTATGTCATGATTTTGTCCCAAATTTTGGTGATGAGACAGCAACATATACTTTTATGTTCCAGTCTGCATGAAACCAATAGCCGGCCCCGTTACAGTCTGCATGCTGCCAGTTGGGCAGCCCTGTTACAGGGAATCAAACCTGTTTTGAATTCACATACTCAGTGTTCTGAAGACGAAGAAAAAGAAAAAAGACGATGTTTGCTAGCTCTCTCATGCCCACATTTAGTATCAAGGTCGAAACATGCACTGTGCTACGTTTTACTAGCATAAATATTAAAAAGTACTGTGACTGGGATGAAAATCGATCTTTGAGATTTGGGCGAGTTTAGATGTCTTCGGCACCTCTGAATATGAACTAGCTGTTTCGGAACGCTGTCTGTATGTTCAGGTTTTACTCATATTCTGTATTTCAGAGTTTACCCATCATAGAGCAGTGCCTTGTGAATATGAACAGTCCAGCTCCAAAACTAGTGGCCCTTGAAATGGGTCCCCAAAACAACTTATAGCAGAAGACTCACCAATTAGTGATTTAATTTCTGCCTGGCATTTTAAGATGACAGTGTAGCAGTATGATTGCTTCCACGTAAATATTGCATGATTTGAGGATGCTGATGTGTGACAGTAGATTTTTCCATATGACTGACAGAAGATAAGTTTCACATCAGGATTGAATACAGCTTTGAATTTGCGCTGAAGTTAATGGGACCTGGCACTAGATTTCACTTTTTGCATTCTTGTAAACTGATCTCAGCCTCTTTGCCACAGTTAAATTACAAAACCACAGTACTGTGAAGACGCTTCATGAAGATCTGTAGTGGTCAATGCCTAGCTCCCAGTGGCACTTGTGATTTATATCCTGATTGGTTAGACCAGATAGGTGATTCCCCATCTTTCACAAAGTGTCATGTGTGCGCGTCTTGCTTGAAAATTGCTGAAACCCCAAACGTGTGGATCCCGTGTCAGAACAAAGAAGAGCAATACTGAAGAATGTGTGTCCTTTTTTTCGACATTCCATTAACAGGCACCACAGGTGGTGAAATATTCATTATCAGTTCCCTAAGACATATACTGTTCGATTTTATTTATATACCCCAATATGAGTATTACCTAAAAAGATGTTGAAATGTATGTTTAGGAGACAGAAGACTATAGATAAGCAATAATAGTAAGAATTTGAACGTTAAATCTGTTTTCGTTGAGGTGAGACATCTGCAAAAAAAAAGGTATTTTTCCTTCTTTCTTTCTCTTTTGTCTATAAAGCTGTACCACAGTTATAAGAAATGTTCCATTGTAAGGATATACTGAACATACAGACATTTAGGAAATTGATCCGCTTCTCAGCTGACCCCTGTGAATAACTTACATCCGACTAAACTAGTCACACATGATATGTTACAATACACATGACTATTATTCTGGACGCTGCACATCGTCTGGAGTCTCTTCAAACAATATTTCGGAAACGGATCAGTGTCTATATGTAAATTAGGAACGGTTCATACTCAGTTTGGTCTGTTACACAGGGCTGATCCTCATCAATGGAGATGCAGTGACACTGTTTATTACATCTGATTACTGCATATTCTTTGTATTCATGAAAACAGATGGTAATGTTTGAATATAATTGCTACAAACTAATACTACATTCCTGTAAACTTTCTTCTAATTTTAAATTTGTATATGCCTGATGTTAGAGGACTGAATCAAAGCCAGCATGTCAACAGATGACGTAATTGATGACGTGCTTGGGAAAACAAGATTTCCATCCCACACTCAACGAGTTATTTTTATTTCCAGGCTCCCAACGAAAAGCAAACTCTGCCAAAACAGGCTACTACTGTATTCTTCCAAACGAATAATTCAGAATGTCAACTGCTTAGAGGATCTGTAAAAGAACTGGCAAAACTGAAAGCTTAGAATGTTACTGTCAGACAGTACAAATAGCTGTAAGATGTAGTGATATGATATATAACGCAGCTTGTTTAATGTCATGCTGAAGGTTGGTGATAATGGCCTAGTGTAACTTTTTAGTGGATGGCTCTTACATCAAGTAAAAAAATGGAAGGAGAGGAAATACTAAGTTGAGCCCATTAAACAAGCTTATTTAAAGGTACTAAAGGCTACCAGATCAATGGGGTCAGAGTCTGCATCGGAAACATCTACACCAAACATTGGGCAATGCTCAGAGAACGTTCTGACATCAGCATTTTTACTGTTACAGCACTGTCTGTGGTATATATTGTATATACTGTACATCTGGGGCATAGTCATGCCTGCTTTTCTTGAGACTAGTGTTCCCAAACGCTGCTTCCCCTAGACAATTTGAAAATTGCCAAGGGTCTTGAAGGACCTCTCAATGATTTTTCTGTGTGTTAGCGATGTGCTGTGGACGCTGAAGAAGTTTAAAATTATATTGTCACTTGTCTGGGGATCCGTGACTAATAACAAAGGGTTTTGGATTGGAATTATTGACGCCTTCGTTTATAATCACTCTTATATACAATCAGTCTACTGCCGAGGACTCGCTCCATTCTCGTCCTCTTGTTTCAGTTCTCTTACAGCTTCTGAACTCACTGAGCGTTCTCACGTCTCTTCTCTTTATAACTTCAGGAAGGACCGAATAGAAATCATTACCTCCAACAGTTTCTCTATTATTCTGCGCTTGTTCGTTGCTGCGGAAACGCGTTTAGCGACCCGTTACTCGGTAACGGATGTCATTCTATTGTTGAGAGCATAACTACGAGAATGTGTTTAGCAATGGTCATATGCATCACAATATGGAATTCAAATTTTTTATCTAACAGTATACAGGAAGAAATGTCACAAAGGAATAAAGATAAAATTACAGTAGATATGAATATGTCGATGTGCTGGATATGCGTGTTACGTTGAAGCTATTCGATGTTCCTACATCGTTCGAACATCGTAGCAAATGGCATCAGAAAATGTATTGCTCTCTCTGCAATTTCTGTGTACTGTCCACTCCTTGGAATCCAAAATTCAATTAGGGAATATCTGTTCAAATTCTGAGCCTAATGCTTTCATCTACCTTC